AATAATCAGATGCCAGAAGACCCTTCGTCTATCGCAGTTATGATTAGCGACCGTCGGTACCAGGTCCATACTGATGGGAGGGTGAGTATGGAAAGATTCCCTAACAACGGACTCCCACAATGTGCAGTACTTTCCCCAACGCTGTTTAACATCTATACCAGCGACTTCCCACCAACATCGTCGAAGAAATTCGTTTATGCCGATGATATCGCGCTAGCAACCGAACATACCGGCTTGCAGATGCTTAGCTGCACACTCACGTCTGACCTTGCTGTTATGACGCTATATTTTCACCAGTGGAAGCCTCATCCAAATCCGACGAAGACTTGCGCGACGGCTTTCCATCTGGATAATCGACTGGTCAAGGAGAAACTCGCGGTTGAGTTTTGTGGTCAACAAGTGCACGATAAAAAAACAAAATATCTGGGCGTCACTCTTGATCGAACGCTGTCATTTAAGCCATATCTAGAAAAGACACAACAGAAGACGAAAACGAGAATAAACTTGTTACGAAAACTTGCCGGCACCAGTTGGAAAGCAGGTGCCCGTACGCTGCGTACTACGGCCCTCGCACCTATATATTCTCTGGTGGATCACTGTTCCCTTGTTTGGTGTCACAGCTGCCACACGAGCGAATTAGACACGCAGTTCAATGAAAAGATGCGAATAGTAATAGCAACCCTGAAGCCATCTCAAACACAGTTGTTACCGATTCTGGAGGATATTGAACCTCCTCACTTCCGGAGGGGCGAGCAGGCGCATCGCATTTTAGATAGGAATCGCCAATTGCCCATCCATCGTGTCTTCCAACAGTCACCAACACGACGCCTGAAACCACGCCACCCACTATGGGAACGGACAACGACACCGCGTCTGAGTCTCGAGTAACGGTGACGAGCAGAGTGGGACTCTGCAGCTGTCTAACGAAGACCTAACTTCCAACCCGACTACAGAATCCCTCTGCATTGACTTGAATCGTCAAGAATAATCGAGATTAAACAAGATTCGAACTGAACAAGGACGCTGTGTACACTTACTCCATCGTTGGAGGATGAAGTCCAGTCAGCAGTGTGACTGCAGTCATGAAGATCAGATTATGCAGCATATTATTTTCGAATACCCGCTGCGAAAGTTAGATGGCGGCATAACTTATGTCCAGAATGCTACCGCGGCGGCCATTCACTGGCTTAGAAATCTTGACAATGAACTCTAAGCTTGATAGTCATCTCTTATAGCCATATGACAAAAGAAGAACGCGAACATTCATTACGGATTGTCGTGAGACGATCATTACCAAATCGATCATCTACTTCTGCGCACAAGCCTCCTTGTTTCAGGGGTACTGATGCATGCTTCGATGCTTGAGAAACGTGTTTATAATGGACAGTCCGTTACTTGCACAAAACCGCAACAAATACATGCCGTTACTGTTGAGGTCGCTAAAGCCGTTGTTTCCACTCACGCGTTTTCACATCTCAGTGTCTGCTCCGACATGCCCAGTAAAATCGCCCATTAGATTGAAGGACTCCGCAATCGGCACTACACTTTCACATGGAAGGACTCATATTCTTTTAAAAGGAGCGCATAGACCTGTAACAAGGTCAATGCTTTAGCCTCTTGTAGCCTCAATCGAAAGAGTCCTGTCTACCTCTAACGGGCTTTTATTCGATGAATCTGTCATCCAGGTTTGGTGTTACTTGAACACCAGTACCGGCATGAGCGCTGGTCGTGGTATCGACACCTGAGTGGAATAGCTTTCACCAGCATAGCTACAGAATTCCAGAACTTCGGCGCTTCGTTGACTAGAGTTCAACTATCTCAAGTTGGTACGTTGCGGCTTCACCAGTGAGCTCCTGCTCTTTTCCTCCGCATGAGGATATGTTCAATGTACCTCCTCCGTTCAGAACGAATGGTGGGCTCCGTTGCTGATTGGTATCATCGTCGTCGTCATGCTGCTATACACCCGGCTACAAGAAGGCTCCTAGCAGGTTTTGATCGCCGATTTTT